ACCAACTGAAGACGAAGAAGAAGAAGAAAACCAACATTTCAAATTTGAAAAATTAAAATCTAAATAATATTATATATAATGGGTATTGGTCAAAGTAAAAATAATGAAAATAATAGTTTGGAAGACATTAAGAATTTAAGTATAGATGAAAAAACACGAGCAGACACTTTAATTATTAAATCTCTTCAAGAATGTGTGACACGAATTGAGAAACTAGAGAAAGAAAAATCTGACAAATTAATATATAAACTTCCTGCTTTACAATTTTGTAATGCTTCGTTAATTTAAATTAATAATATTAACATATAATAATATTATTAATTGCTATCATAGTCTGTCATTTTATCCTCTGGTATTGTTGTTGAAGTAGTACTACTTATATCATCTATTAAATCTTCTTCATCAACAAAATTATTTTGAAATCTTAATAATTCCTCGTCTGTTGGTCGTCTTTTTAACACTTTATAAAGTTTATGTATCCAAGAATTTGTATGAAAATTATAATTACCTCTACGATAGAATCCACCACATCTACATAGTTTCATTGGCATATTATTATATTATATTAAATTAGAATATCTTTATCCATCATTCGTAATTTGAAACGCCTGTTCAAATCTGATATGAAACATTTTGTTAATGTCTTTAGCATTCATATTCACGTAGAAGAAACTATAAGGTGCGTCATTAACAGCTTGATGATACATATCTAATAATTGCTGTTTATCAACAATGGCGCTATTTTCTTCAATAAAACTCATTAACTCACTTGCATTTTTCAACCTAAAAATATATAATGAACTGGCATTTAAACGAATGATAGGCGCTAAAACATTATATTTTTGTGTTGAACAAATTACACTTACTGCATCGTGCCTACCTCTTGTAAATAATCCATGTAATAATTTACTATATCTAACAAATTTAGGATCGTCTGCGTGGTCATCTATAACGATTAATATTGAATGCAGTTTCTTTATCTTTTTAGATTTCATATAATTAATTATTTTCTTCTGTCTTTCAATTACATTTTCTAAATCACTTGGGTTATAATTATCAAAATATATTTGTTCTTTTTCATCATCTACGTGCAATTCATCCCTGATGTATTTTTTAACTTCTGTAAAAGTTGGGTCATTATGAACGCTGGGTGAAAATATAAATATTCTTGCAAATGAATTTCTATAAACATTTAAAATAAGATTCTGAACTAAAACTGTTTTGCCTCCCGTCGAACTCGCAACTATAATACTTCTAAATGGTAATTTTGGCACGTGCTCATATTTGGATTGTTTGAATTCATATTCAGTTATGTTTATTGGTTTTATTATTGGGACATCTGTCATAGTTGATATTAAAGAAATATAGAAAATTATATTTAAAAATTAACTTGTAATTAATATTAAATGGAACATCATTATGTTATGAGTGGCGGTGAATAACATAATGGAACAGGTGTCCATTGCTTCAATCAATAAGCATTGAAGATAATTAGTTTTGTGTCTTGCTCGCGTGTGCAATGAAAAACCCAAGTGCTGTGCCCCACCAATATTCTATTATGCATGAAAATAATAAGATTAAATAATTATTTTAATAATTATTTCATCTTATTATTTAATATGGATAGAAGTTATTCAGATTATATTGATATAATAGATGAAGTAGAGAATATAGAACAAGTACTAATAACTGACAATAAAATTAAAAAATGCTGTTATTATTCATTAGAATTAATAAAATTAGGAATACAATATATCAAAAATAAAAATGTAAATATTAATATAAATGGGAAAAAAGAAAAAGAGTAAATCAAATTCAACATTAGATAATGAAAGACCAATGCCAGATATTGAAACTCGGAAAGAAACAACAGTAAGTGTTAAATCATTAGGTGTGAGTAAAGAAATAAAATGTGATAAATGTAATCATGTTATGAACTTTCAAAATGAATTAATAGTAGATAAAAAAGGCGGTGTTAATATTAAATGTATTCCGTGTATGTTATCAGTCAAGAAGAAAGACCAAGAAATGAGTGTAGTGAAGAAGAAGGACGGAGATATGACAATAGAAACAAATGATCATTTAGTCAATGTTAGTTTTAATAAGGTAATAACATAGTATTTAAAGAGTAGATTTTACATTATTTAAACAATTGTTCATTAGAATTAATAAAATTAGGAATACAATATATCAAAAATAAAAATGTAAATATAAATGGTCAAAAGCAAAATTAATGACCAAATACAAGAAGAAAATAGAATAGTTAAATTAATGCAGGACCAGAAAAAAGGACAAGATAAAATTGAAAAGACACTAAAAGAACAAAAAGGAAAACAAGAACAGATGAGTGAATTAATAGAAAATCACCAAGAAGAACAGAAAGAAATTAGTAGAGCAATGGATGAAATATAAAAACGATTGAAGACAGACTAACAGCAATGGAAAATTATGATTATAGCGACTATCAGTATGTAGAACAAACAGGACAAGACAATCGCGCTAATGAAATCAAAGTTGATAAAGACGGTGCTGACATTAAGTGCCTGCCGTGTAAATGTGGAAGATTGATAAAAATAATTCATACAATGAAAACCAAAGAAACCAACGGAAACTCACGCGAAGAAACTTGGGAACACAACTATAATACAAAATGGGGATAAATTAGTATTTAAAGAGTAGATTTTACATTAAATCAATTTTATAAATACATAAATATTTAAATAAATAATTATATAAATAAATATATATAGAAATGTCTGAAGTTGAGAATGATGCTATTGCTGAACTATCAAAGAAGATAATGACAGTTAATAAAAATGTTAAACTGTTGTACGAGATGATAAAAACTATTGACCAGAAACTTGATACAAAGGCAAACGAACCAAAAAATAACAATGAAGAGAAGGAAAAGATTGATAAGATCTTTGAAAAGAAAGGGATAGGCAGACCCAGCGGTGATTATGACACGAAGCGTAAAAAAATTGTGATATGTTAAATAAGGGACAAATCAAAAGTCCAAAAGAACAAACATTAGAATATTATAAACTAATTAAGGGCGATGATGGTAAATATGTAATTGTTGAAAATTAAAATACAAATAGTTCTAATAATATGAATTTATTAGAATTATTTTCAGGCAGTGGTTCTGATTGTAAAATTGCACGGGATTTAAGTTTTAATGATGATAATCCAACTTTAGCAATTATAATTTAATTATGATAATTTAATTATAATTTTAATTTATTAATTTAATTTTAATTTATTAATTTAATTTTAATTTATTAATTTAATTTCTTGTAAAAAGTACTTAAAGAAATATTAATTATATATATTATCATACAAATGGTTGTATTTACAGAGGTTGAACAGGAAGAAATTATCAATTAATTCTTAACTTATATTGAACAACAGGAAACTAAAATAATTGATGATTTTTTGAGTGATAATGATAGTAAAACAGAAGAAGAAGATGACAGTTACGGATTTGTAACTGAAAAACGGTTAGAAAAGGAAATTACAGAACATCATAAAATGATAAACAATATTGAAACGAAAAATTACATCCCAGTAAACCTTCCAATGATAAAATATATGGAACAAACTAACAACCAACGAATAATTAGAAATGCTGGAAACTATTCATACAGTCAAATTACATCCAATTTGTGGTATTTAAGCTTTAGAGAATTTGAATGGTTAATCGAAATAAAAAAAGAATGGTAACAAATGGGTTTGTAGCAAAGAAAAATTAGATGCAGTTGATTTTAACATATTGTATAAATATAGAATGTTTAAAAGAAGATTTGAATAATTATAAAAACGAATGAACCAGACCTTGCCCATAATATGTCTACAAAATTTGTGATAAAATTTATTGTAAAATAATTTATCATAATTTTTGGAATAATATTTTTTTGAAAATTTATTTTTTTTTATTTTTTTTGTAAAATTTATTTTTTTTATTTTTGTTTTGTAAAATTTATTTTTTAAAATTTTGTAAAATTTATTTTTTAAAATTTTGTAAAATTTATTTTTTAAAATTTATTTTTTAAATTTTATTTTTTTAAAACTTTGAAAATAAAATATTGGATAAACTTACTAGGAAATTACCTGCTTCAAAATGTTGATTTTTGAAAATGTGCTGTTTGAGGTGCTGTTTTAAAATGTTGCTAAAAGTGTAGGGGGGGCCCTAGGATTTTTTATAGAAAAAAGATGGGCAAGGTCTGGTCTAACTGTATCCCGCCAGAGCAGTTCGCCAGTGGATCCCGCCGAGTATCCCGCCAGAGCTGCTCACCAGTGGATCCCGCCCAGTATCCCGCCAGAGCGGCTCGCCAGTGGATCCCGCCCAGTATCCCGCCAGAGCGGCTCGCCAGTGGATCCCGCCGAGTATCCCGCCAGAGCTCGCCAGTAGCGGCTCGCCAGTGGATCCCGCCGAGTATCGTGCCAGAGCAGCTGGCTAGTGGATCCCGCCCAGTATCCCGCCAGAGCTGCTCGTCAGGTGATCCCGCCGAGTATCCCGCCAGAGCGGCTTGCCAGTGATCCCGCCGAGTATTCCGCCAGAGCGGCTCGCCAATGGATCCCGCCGAGTATCCACTAGCTCACCAGTGGATCCCGCCAGAGTAGCTCGCCAGCATCCCACCAGAGCAGCCTGCCAGTGGATCCCGCCAAGTATCCCGCTGATCCCTTGCCGGTGGATCCTGCCGAGTATCCGTGGCTCGCCAGTATTCGCCAGTGGATCCCGCCAATATCCCGCCAGAGCAGCTCGCCAGTATGGTTTTGCTTACTGTCCAAAAGGGCCGATTTGAATTTGGAGTCGAAGTCTCCAGGATGCGGAATAATTTGTTGTAACGGTCGTAAGCTTGTGAGTGTGGAGGGTGGGGATTGCTCGAAGCGAAGTATTTTATTTTTTTATTTGTTTATTTATTTATTTATTATTTCGTTTTACAGATAGGGCCTCGGGCCATACCCAACAACGAAGTCCCGATGTATCCGGAGTCGAGGTACGAGGTGAGTTTCAGCAAGCTGCAGAACACAGATCTGCCTGGGGCGGCAGCTGGCCTGGCGCCAGACGTCGCCGCCTTGGACCTGCGAGCGCCGAGCGCGATCTGAGACCAGCCGAGGGTTGACCACTCCCAGGAATTAGCGACACAAAAGTCCGGTTCTGGCGTCAAGTAGAAAAGAACACACGGAAGCTGACAGAGTTCAAGGACGTGCAGCGGGACTTGCATTCACGGGTCGATCCACGCGGGTCACTGAAGGGGCGCCCAACAGCAAGAACACGTCCAGAGTCTACGATTTTTTTTTCTCCCCCATTCCCATTACTATATCCATTACAACGTCGATGCTCTAATATGTTGTGATGCGGATGCGGATTCCTTTATCCCACTCATCTCAGCGGAGCCTTCATTTTTTTTCTTCGCCACATCCACATTTTTCAAATGTCCGCTCAAGAACACCTTGCTCGATTGCCGCACTCACGATGATGGTTTTAATTGATCCTTTTTGGATGTTGTAATTAGCGTTTGGGGTCATGTTTCACATGTTGCCCTTGACAAGCACTCGTCAATTGCAAATGGACTGCACAAAATAGATAAGGGTTTGCGATCAATTTAATCCCAAGATGAGCTCCATCACGTTTGTTTGATATTTTTTCGATCTAGACACAGTTCCCTGTGCCCCTGCAATGATTTCGGCCGTGGCAAGCTTTGGGGGGCATGATGCAATACTTGTCGTCTTGAATCCCAAACGATTCGGACTCTTCTCTGGACACGTTCAGCTTCGCCAACTTTTCTTTCGCAGAAGGGTGACGTTTTGCAAAGTCCATGCACTTGTTTGCGAATCGTGATGGTTTAGTCAAGTGTTGTGTTCTTGGTTAGTCGGTCCGTTGATCCAATGTGCATCTTGTTCGTGCCTGCCTTTGGCCGTGCTTGAGTTGCGTTCATCTCGGTTATTGCAGTGTGTTTTTTTTCAAGACAAGTCTTTGTGCATTACAGATTTGAGCAAGATAGTACGGGGAGTTAGCATATTTGTAGTTGTTGATTTGACACAGCTTTGGAGGGGGGGGGGCGGAAACAAACCTGTCAACACATAGAGGTGTGGATTGGTGGTTAGGCAGGCACCCGAACTACAGCACCAAGACAAAAGTCTGTTCTCTTGGGCGTTAATCACAAAAAACATTTTCTCAAGGGGTGAGCTACAACCGAACTGCGGCTGGTGGATCGCATGGACTTGCTTGTAAATAAAGTTAATTGATCAGGAGCAGTAGTTCGATCCACAGCACAAGCCAAGCAAAATGTCGTTTGTATATTGGTCCGCTATGTCCCAAGATATGTTCACCAGAGCCACGGAAGAAACTATCTTCCTCCTGAGGTATGCATACGACACTTGAATACGCCCTGCGTATGTGTCATGAACAACAAATCGCTTGATCAGTAGCTGTTTTGACGTCGGTTACCCCTGAGTTACCCTCGATGCTTAGCGAAACCTACCTCGCATTGCTGACCTCTCCTGTCTTCTTCACAGCACTGCTCCGTGCTAAGCTGCATAGTGGGGCGGGCAGATCCCAACAGCCGTTGGTACTGGCAACACTTCAGATTGTTGCATTTGAAAGCCGGAATCGTTATATATCCCTTCCGGGCTGTCTCTGCCGTTCAAATTGGTTGGGAGTTGCGCCCTTCTTGAGGTGCCTAACCTGCACACGGCGGCGAAAGCGCTGAAGCCGACGCTGGGGCCTGTCCGCAAGCTCAGGGGGAGCCTTGCCGGGCTTTGAGGTACGGTGTGTCATGGTCAGACAGCTGATTCTGCTAAACAAGAAGGAATTCAGTCAGTCCCATCCATCAAGTTGTGGCAGAGCCAATGCTGGTCAAGAGATGGCATATGATGGAGGCGGCGGTATTGCTTCCAACAGTGAAGTTGGGCCTGAGTAGTTGCAACAACAGTGGGGCAATCACTGTCAATAGGGATAGGGCTACGAGTTGGTGAAGTGGTATTTTTGCAAGATGTACCCTTTGTGCAGAGAGTGTGTTAAAGTTACACGTGCGGGTGGGTGCGAATTCGCACGATTTGGTATGTGCCAAGATTCTTGGCACATCACATACCAAATCGGGCCCATTCGCACCTACCCAAACGTTTTTTGGAGATGCAGGTGAAACAGAAGCAACTGGGCTTTGGGATGCAGCTTGAGGGTTTGGACAGCCAGGAGGAGCTGGTTCCAGGCTGCTCCCACTGCATGCATTTGGCTCTTGATTGCTGCAAGTGCTTTGCTTTGCGTTGAGGATGTTGCAGTGTTGCATGGCAGTGTGGATTGGTTTGCCAAAGGAGTGGTAGAGTGATTGTGGGCTTGCTGCTTGGCCAAGCGCAAGCGTGCCGGCAAGCTTGGTGGCAGCACGCTGCAGCCGCCGAGATGTACTATTTGGCTGGGGCCGTCCTCGGGATGGACTGGTTGTATGAAGCATTTGCTCCGCCTGCGCAGCCCGCGGCCCTTGGCGTTTTGTTGGGGCCTGGGCAAGCCACTGCGACTTTAAGGACATGAACTGCTGCATCCAGGGACATGGCACACGGACGGGCTCCTGGTTCAAGGTCAGCTCGTAGGGAGGGGGTCGAGAAAATAGAAACCCAGCAACCCAGCAACCCCATGAACCCATGTGAGGTTCCCCTACTGGATACTAGAAGCTTTGCCAACAGTGCCTTTTTCACACGCTCTATTTGGGTGTGGCTTTTCTTTAGGGGTACCTCTTGTTGGGGCTTTAATGGGAAACCAAACGGACAGCCATCATTTTGGGCGCCTCCTCAAAACACAACGATTTTGTAACACTAAACGTTGAAGGATTTCAGTATCCGAGAGTCGGTGGTTGCAGCGTAGCTTCTAAGTGTCTATTGGACAGGCTGGCAGCTCTGTTGTGGGCTGGGACAGGTTGGGGCAAGGGTCAAGTTTGGCCACACAGAGGCAAATTTGGCATGGCCTTCCTTTCAAGCAGAACTGTGGACAATTTGTGGTCTGTTTGTTCTTTCTAGAAAACCACCCTCAAGCTCCAAACCACCGATCAACCACCCAACTACAAGCCAACCAGCGGGAAGATGGAAGGCGGTGCTGCAGCTTGCCTCGACCACCGCGGAGCTGCAGTCGGGGGCGATGGTGTTGAGTCGAGTCGGGAATCTTCCCTGAAATAACCGCGCTAAAAGGTGTGTTGGCGTTTGAGTGATGCAGGGTTTCCTCGGTTTCCCTTTGTGGAACCATACAACAGTGGCATGCAAACCGCCAGTGCATTGATCAACTTAAGAGGAATTCCGCGAACCCTGTGATGGGTTTCTCCCATTCCTGAACCAGGGATCCCCAATGACCCTCCGCCTTGCTGGTTGAGACGAGGCCTGACTGAAGACGCAGCTTGTCATTTGGGAGTCGTTCTAAATTGCCAGTCTTAAAGTTAAGCAAAGGGAGGTTCTGAAGGTCTAGCGCGAAAGGAAAACACTGCATCGCGAAAGGCCGGCGAAAGGAACGCGAAAGGACTTGAAACAAAACGAATACATGGTAGAACCCTCGTTTGGGCTCGGAAACAAGTTTTTTAGGACTGGTTTGTCACCGCGAAAGGAAAACATGGGGCCGCGAAAGGACCGCGAAAGGCCGGCGAAAGGGCCGTTTCCAGGAACTGTTATTTTGAACAACCCCCATTTGATGCATGGATTCCATTTGAGCTTTCGCAAGGGATTGTTTGTCAACCCGATTTGGGCTTTACGCATGTGCAGGATCTTCTGTGTTTGAGCCATGATCAATCCTTGTTGAAGGCACGGCAATGATTTTGCGTTTCGAGCTTCCGCTCACTTCGGGGGTTGGTGGCACATGGCACTCGTTGTAGCTTTGGCGCGGGTGCAGCTACCAGGCGTTTGGCAAAGAGGGAACTTGTGGGAAGCAGCACCATCCCGATGATGATGATGTTGTTGATGAGGATGAGGATGAGGAGGCGGAGGAGCAGGAGGAGGAGGAGAAGTGAGGAGAAGGAAGGAAGGAGGAGGAGGAGGAGGAGGAGGAGGAAGTGGGTTGGTCAGTTTTCGAATGCAGCATCACTGCTTATTGCTCCAAGCATTTGTTCTTGGCAACTCTGGCAGCTTGTACTATTGCGCTAGTCTGCGGTTTACCCGTCTCGTGCGGCTTGCTTGCTAAGGCCACTGGCAATTTTCTTGCAGTAAGCGCCCTGCTTACTGTTTGAGCGGTTTCCACTAGCTAGGTTTGGTGGAGATGTGATATGCTCTTCAGGTTGTGATGTCAGGCTGTTCGCGACTTTGTGCACGGGATAGAATCACATCTTCACCATGAGGGTAGGAGCATTTGTACTCTGCACTCCCATTTTCTCAGCAAGAAGTTTTTGAATTTTGCTAGAGCACGGCTTCTACCCTCCTGGGCCACACCAAGGTAGGTTGGCGACACGGCGGCAAGAAGCCCCCTAAAAACAAGTGCGTGCACGAGCGTGCGTGTTTTCAACAAACTGCCTGCGCATTGCAGGAGCTACCCAAGTCTTGTAGTTGTGAATCTAGTGGCGTACTGAGAGGGGGCCTTGCCTGGCAGAAGCCTTTGGCAAGGTAAGTGCGTGCCGATGATTGCCACTGGAATTGCCTTTCCCCGATGGCTCAAAGAGGGTAGATTGCCAACTCCTTGCTTGACAAGAGGGCTCTCAACAATGGAACTATGATGGCAATCAATCGACTCAAAGAAGCAACATGAGAAAGCCATGCAATGCTGCCCGAATACCAACAAAGACACCTCTGGATGGATCGGATCCATGGCCAAGCAGATCCCACATGTATTGTAGCTTGGTGGCATACCCGTTCATGCGATCCGCACGGCTCGTCCTTCCTGAGGCAATGCGGATGTTTTGGTGGATGCCTCAGCGATACGGTACAGGCCTTCTGAGGCAACTCGGGCCTTCCATGCTGTTCGGGTACTGTGAACATTGCCGGCGCATTTGTATTTTCTGCTGTTCCGACGCATTTGTATTTCCAGCCCTTGTGTACTTACAGATGCATAGTAAACTGAGGCAACGATCACGGGAGTCTAAAACCCTGCTGGCGATGGTGCTGGTGCTGGTGCTGCTGGTGGTGGTGGGTCTACAAATTCTTGGTTACTTAAGATATGTTCTTTTCCCAGACACATTTGCCGACCCTCACCTGATGTTAACAAAACCCAACCATTTGCCCAAAGAAGCCCGGTGGCTTCCGCGTTGTAGGCTTCGAATCCCGCAGCCTGGGCTCTCCCCACGTAATTTGCTAGCGAAAAGTGTTGAGTTCCTGGTGCTGGTGGTGGTGCTGCTGCTGCTGCTGCTGCGGAGCCACTACTTGACTAGTGCAATGGCTTTAGTCCATTGCTCATTGCTTCGTTGCGTTGGAATCCAAAGACAAAATCCTTGATTTGGTCGCGGCGTAAGAGCCCTCAGCAAAGTCTGGTCAGCCATCCTCGGAACAGGGAGCCCTCCTTCTGCCATCGGCTTCCCATTCCTGGCTCTGAGGCTTTCAGTCGCGGAACTGGACCGCAGAGGCATGGGATCACTTGACCGGATCTTTACGGCTTTCGCTTTCTCAGACTTGCCATGAGATCAGCGCAAGTTGCGCAGTTTTCTGGGCAGTATTCTGATTTGCCCGGATGGAAGCGAATTGAGCGCGAGGCGCGAGGCACCACCACTTTGACTCAGCGAAAGCTGGACAAGGCGTGGGTGAGTCACGGGATGGTCAACTTGGCACTGGGCTGTGAGGGTGCAGAAATTTCGAGCGGTGGAATATGGGCAGCTGGATAGTGAAAGATGGCAACAGTTGCAGGTGATGGAGAACGCTGCCTGTGCCATCCACCACTGGGATCCAGATGAGCCACTTGGTTCCTTCACTTTCCTGTGCCTATGTGTCCTCCTCACCTTTTGCAATCCTTCCTTGGGCAGAGCAGACGGGCTGCTCAAAAAGGGCAGGTTGCTGGCCTGGGGTTGAGTATTGGTTTTAATTCTACAAGCAGAACAAGAATGCGCCAATTTCACAGCCGTCCTTGAAGTCTTCCTTGCTGAGATCACTCGAACGAACTGCGACAGGCCATGTGGCATGCAAGCCAGCGGACAGTTGGGGTGCGCTTCACAAGGATTAGTAATAATTTGAAACGCTTCGCGTTGCACACCTCGGCCAGAATGCTTTTGTCGGCTTTGAGGTGCTGTGTTTTGGTTTGCCTTGAAGTGTTGTGTTTGTCTGAGTGAGTGAGTCGAAAGATAGAGGGTGGGTGCATGTTCGCGCGTTTCCACATGGCTTGAAGGGCTAGATAGAACGAGAGCCGTGGACTGGGGCCAAGCGAAGGCTGAGGGAATAAGGAAGTTGACCGGCTTGTGGCTGGAACTTGACCGGTTTCTAGCCAGGATTAGACTGGTTTCTAGACGTCCTCAAATTTTCTTCTAGAAGCCAGTCAAATTCCCACCAAAAACTTGTTTATCCTTGGAGAAACCGGTCACATTCTAAAGCCGGTCAAAGCCCCCTGCACATCGATCAAATTCGGTCAAGTTCCGCCACTAGAAACCAGTCAAATTACCCTAGAAGACAAATCCTCGCCAAAAAGCCGGTCCATCTCCAGTCATGTCCCCGCTAGAAACCGGTCACATTCCGCCGAAGCCAGCCCTCTGGGCCGAGGCGAATATGCATATACATTATATACACATATATTTATATATAAACATATTTCTACCCACATATGTGCGTATATCGTGTGAAACGGGCACCCTTTCAGGTTGGGTTGCGAGGAAACCAAACGGGCAGTTCCCCATTTCGAGACACACACACACACATACATATGCTCTTCTGCAGGAGAGAATAACAAAAAACATGAGAGCTTCTGATTCTGGCCTTGATTCCGCACAAAGTGATGGGTGTATCAAGGGTTATGATCACTCTGACGGAAACATGTGCGATCGCCACCTTTCACACATCATGCGTTCCGAAGGCAAATGCAACAGGAGCTGAGACTAAGGTGGCTGGATATCGCCTCGCTGCAGGCTGGCTGCCCGTGGAAGTGATTTCTTCTTGAACTGCCAAGAAAGAGCTGAGTTTTTTCATGCCTTGGAAGAGCAGAAGTTTCACTGGTTGCTTTTGATTCTCTATGCAAGTGTTGTGCTGGTCCCGGCTTTGCATTTCCTTTCTAGGAGGCGGGCCAGTCCCGAGCATCGGTGACGTCCATGCAGCGGAAGGTCGATAGCTTGCCGCTGGCCGTGAAGCGGCTGCCGAATAGGCAACGGCGGATGCCACAAATTTGCCAGAAAGTTCTTGTGCACTCCCGGAAAAGGGGTCATCAGCAAGGGGAGTCTGCGGATTCTTTTGTCCCGGGTGTCAGAGGCCTCATGCAGCTCGCCAGGTGGATCAAGGATGGGCAATCCGAGCCGCGCCCTCGAAGGTCAAAATTAGGAAGGTTGTCAAAGACGTGGCTCGCTTTGGGGCGGTGCCGCCTCTTGCCGCCTTTTATAGGTGTTAAAAAAGGGACCAACATCAAATCGGGGTGTTCCTAGTTTGATAAACAGCCATGTTTGGATTGGTGTGTTTCGATGCCGTGTGCTCTTGCTAGGCAAGGAACATGACTATCCGCAGACGTTTTCATGAATGCACCCGTCCATGGAGACATTGGAAAGCAGTCAGTCGCCACTGTGGCATGAAGGGCCCGACATGATGTGAGGCGTCAAGACAAATGGCTGTAGGTCAAAACCAATGGTACCACTTTGGGGTAGGTGCCGCCCATTTTAGTCTATTTTAGTGGGGATTGGGGTGTTCACCAGGGGTACAGGGTTTTGATCCATGGCCAAATGGCTCTGAGTGAGACCTTGCTCACTGACAGCTGGTCACAACTATTCATGGTCAATCCAGCATATGCCAACCGTGGCGCGCATGCTGAGGTTTGAGCAGGACCACCCTCAGGCTTCTGAGAAGCCTTGGGTGGAAATAGGCTTGCTTCGGTATCTCAATGCTCTCGGGCCGGATGCTCAACATTTGCACAGTGCTTGCATAATCATGTTGTTGGTTGATCAATCAAGGCTTTCATGTTTGGCCAACAGCACGTTTCACTAGCTTGCATTGTCGCAACCATTCCTGCTTGATCCAACAAACCGCTGGCTGAGGTTTCCATATGTTTGTGAGCTGATCGGGATCTTCCGCGATGAAGAGTTCACTTATGTGGCGACCTCGTGCTGTGCTCAGGTTTGGTTTGGTTTCTGTGGCTGGTGCGCAAGCACCTGCAAGAAATCATTGAAATAAGTTGTTGTCCTGGACGTGTTGGATGGCAGAAATAAGCGGATTGCGTTGGGCACACAATCTCTGTCATATGAACAGCTTGTGAGAGCCAGAACTGTCTGGACTTGTTTCTCCGGAAGGGTCACCTGGATCCTGAGGCTCGCCTCGGAAGGCGACCTTTTTCAGTGGGTAGAGCAGACCAGCCTCGTGCCGGGCATGGAACGCGAGAGCACCTGGACTTCAGAGTCTTAACTCTAGCCGTGGATGTCATACACGCAAGCAAGCAGCTGTCGGCTCCCGGGATAGGCTGGAAGTGAGGGAAGCCAGGTGGGGGTATGCATAATATGAGGAGATGTGCACGTGACAAGGAGGTCAGATCTTGCAAGGTTTGGGGTGTAAGAACCGGTCATTGCAAATGCTTTGGACAACCCCACTCGATACCGCAAGTGGTTGTTTCACGGGTGATTCCTCAATGCCATGTCTGAACATCTTGTCGCATCTCATGCTTACCAACCCATAAGAGCCTTTCTCGAGCCCCATCAAACTGCTGCTCGTGCCGCTGTCGCTGGCGCTGCTGCTGCTCTCTTTCCAGGTCCTGTGGATTTTGCGTAGCGCGTGGATCCTCTGCCGGGTGCAGCATACGCACTAGGTTCATTTGATGTTTGCGTTGAAGCGGAGCCGCTTCTGCTTCCCAAACAGCACATCACTACTCAACCCTGTCGCCCAGCTCGCATTGTAGCGTTGTGGACATGGCTCCAATCTTGTGAACGCCAGTGTTTTGCAGGGCCTCTGGTAGGGTCCTAAGATCAGACTTCCAGGACTAGTAAGAATTGATTAGTTGTTTGCAAGGTACTTGCATGCTATGCTGTCCTTTGTCATAGTATCCTTTGTCATATCTGGATTGGTGCTTGTTTGGGTGAATGAGGGCACATCGTGCATACTCCACACACTGCAAGGCATATATTGTCTTGAGATGCGCACGCCTTCTTTTACTGGTAAAGAACAGCGGTGAAGAGAAGACGAAGGATACTGTGGGAATTGAACGATTGACCTGCCTCAAATACATGTCGCAATTGGTGATACTGCAAATACAGTATTGAGGGCTTCAAGCATTAAGCATCCGGAAGAAGCGCCAAGAGGCGCTTCAAGCATTGAACTGCCTTCAACTCTCCATCCATGCCCAGGCATTATTCGGCAGATGTTGGTGCAGTTGCGCCCTGGCTAAAAACAGTTAACATCCAGCTGGCCGGGCAAATTGGCAGGCAAGCCTTGAACGCCATAGGAGACTGCAGATTGGTTCTAGTAGCGGGGGGGGGGGGTACGTTTGTTGCATGAGGAAGTGATCTGGTGAGGTGGGACAGGGCCTGTTCAGATGATGATCCAACAACAGTCCGGCCTTGAAACGTCATGCCAACACGCTGGCTTTGCGAATCAAGCAGGGTGGCTGTGTGGTTCCAATCAGACTGTGCGTTCCGTGCCCAGGTTTTCGGCCGTGTACAAGCTGCATGAGCTGGGCATAGCTCACCGCGACCTTTCTCTAGATCCTCAGAAGCAACAAGCGGAAGTCGCCTTTGCCTGGCTTGAAGCAAGCTTGTATTGCAAGTACAGTATGCAGACATGCGTGCTTGCCGCCCGAGGAGAATGTATTGCTGACCTCAAGTGCCGAAGGAGACCTGACGGAGTCATTGATCTCTGTGAGTTGGGCAGCCGACTTGGGGGGGTGGTCGAACATAGCGCCCTTTTTGGATCCTGGTGACATTTTTCGCCGTTGAAGCAGGTCCCAAGAGAGGTTTGTTCAGTGTTCACCAGAACAGGCCCCTCCCTCGACCAAGGATATCAGATCAAGCTGATCGATTTTGGCATGGCGACGCTGCCCCGCGGACAGCAAAAGTATTGAGCAGTCTAGCCGTTGGAGATTTGTTCGTTACAAGCAACAGGAGGCTTTGCCAGCGGCTAGTCAGAGTCTGGACGGCAAGCAACAGAACAGGAAGGCTGTTCAAAGCGGTGCAATAGTAAATCACAGCTTCTCGTGTCCCAGAAATGAGCTGGTCTGCGGGTTTGTCGCGCGCGCATCTCAGGTCTCAAACATGTGGCGCCGAGATTCGAGGAAAGAAAGCCTACCAGGCAGGCAGCATTGCGGGCAGTGACACACTGAGCCATGTAGTTTCTGCTTCAGCTGTCCCCAGACTCAGTAAGTTTCTTTTCCCTTACACAAGGGTCATATTCCTCCGCCATGTTTAGTTGAACAAGGTTTGAGGGGTTGAGCAGCTCGTGTATTTGTTTGCGGACGATCGGAGGTCAGGCAAGGCTTCTGCTTGGTTCCAACCGTTCGCTTTGCTCCTGGCGTTGGACATCCGTTCTTTGAAGCAGCAGGCACTGCTCAAGATTGAGACGTGCGCCGGGCAGGCTCCAGAGATGCACACCGACCCAGAGTACGATAGCTTCCTCGCGGACGTCTTTGCTCTGGGTGCCGCTTGACACCGAACGAGAAATGACAAGTTGTGTTTGCACCGATCCACACGATGCATTTCTGACCATGTGAGGTGGTGGTGTATGCCATGGCGCTGAGCGACTATCCGTGGACCGCAACGAAGCTGGGGACATGCAAGCTGTTTGAGCCGCTCGGCATCTGCAGAGTGGACCATGAGAAGCTCGCAGACTAAGTTTCATCCACACGTGGGGCTTTGCAGAGTTCATCAAGAAGCGAACCTGCCGAAGAGGACCTGCAACCTATATCGAGGAGGTGCCATCATTCCGGGCCCAGCGTTGAATGTGTGACGCAGTGAGTGGATTCTTTCAGTATCCTGACTTCGCAAGAGCAGCACATGTCGCTGACCGATGCTCAAAGACTTCCTTATGCACTTCAGAAACTTGGAAAGCTGAATGCGAACTTGCCGCTTGTTTTTGTTCACCCTTCTCCCTGTCTCTCCGCTCTTTTGCCCGCTGCTGCTTGCCCTTCCTTCATTCCTTTTGGTCTTCTCCGTACGTCTCCATGCTCTTCTTGTCGCTGCTCTTATGGCTGTATTTCTCGCATTTCCCCTCGCCCCTCTTTCTGCTCCTTTCCTTGCTTTTATTTCGACTCTTTTGCCCTTGCTTTCTGCTGGATTTCTGCCCGCTTTTCCTGTGCTCTTTACTTGGTTGTTACATGCTTTTGCTCCCGTTGGTTGCTGTCAGCTTGGTCCTTGACTTCCGCTCTCTTTTTCTTTTGCCCTCTCACTCGCTTTCCGCCCCGCTCGCTTTTCTCTTGTCTCTTCTTTACCATATGCACAACAAACGGTGTCCGCCCCGGGCCGCAGTCGGGATGCTTGTACGTCCAGTCTCGTCTTTCGCTCATTTGCGTTCGCGGCTTTCCTCGGGCGCAAAAAATTGTGCAGGTCCTGTCGGCGGAGCTGGTGGAGCTGTTGGAGGGCCTCATGGAGCCGCGAGAAGAGCGGCTCTGCCTGGGTGAGCCCGGGGCCCCCAGCGCCTTTCGCGTGATCCGGCAAGGGTGGCTACAGCTGCGAGCGGGCAAGGGCTAAGCTCATCCGGAATGAACATGGATTTTACAATAAAGCTGGCCTTTTTGCGCATCTTTCACGGCCCCTTTTTGGAGGTTCTTCTTTTGAGATGTACTTGCTTGGCTGAGAAACCCGTAAAGTAGGTGACGTGCAACCGAAATGCCCCCGCCAGATTGTTATAAGACGGTTTTGAGGCTCAAGCTTGCTGTGTCAAAGGGAAATCCTGGGATGTTGCGAAGGCGAGAAGGCACGGCAGAGGTTCGAACATTCTTGGCCAGGTGCCTGGGTTTATGTTGGTTCAATACACCAGGGATTGAAAGCGGTGGCGGTTCACTTATAACTCTGAGAGGTCACAGGGAGAAACCGAGACGGAGGGTGGATTCCACCTCTAGGTTGCGATGTGTGGCGATTCGTTCGCTTCAATGTTTCGCGTGGAAGTTCCGAGGATGGAAACGCAATCACCCATTATTTGGACATGCGGTGGGTGGGGTGGGTGCGATCGACTGGGTAAGTTTGATTAGTTGCGCCAAAAGAGTTGCAGTTTCGTCCAACTGCGTATTGAAGTTTCAGCGAAGTGCCAAAAGTTCGGTTGTGACTGGTCAACACAGGCATCCATGTGACAGCCCCAAAGGGCTTGCCTTGCTTATTGCGAAGGTATTCTGCTGCGCGTTCCACGGCAAGTTAATCATGGACAAGTCAGCAGATGGAGTTTGTTTAAGAAAGCAAAGCAGAGTGAAGGTGTTCAATCATACCTGGGTGGTTCCCTGGCAGGCTGTCCGCACGTTATTCAGCTTATAGTTCCTGTTGACTAACACACACACACACACTGGGTCACTGTAAACCTGTGTTCTGAAGCAAGTTACCAATGGGACACCAAGGCTTGGTTTGTTCAGGGTCGGTTTGTGCTTGGTTTCAGGCTGGGTCGTTGTTGGGCCAAGGGTTGTTCAAGGTTGAAGGCTGGTTTAGGGTGGATAAGCTTTGTTTTGGTTGGGTGTCAAGGGTGAAAAAGGCCATTCAGTTGGCCGATTTCTAACTTCACTTCGGCGTCCGCCGAATTCCACATCAACCGTGCCATTCATTCTTTGTTAATTATGAGGGCTCTTTGAGATTCGACCTACTTCTGCGGGCAACCCGAGGTCAAGCATCTTGGTGTCCGTTTGTGCAATCCCAAGCATGTGCAGTTGCATTTAGCATTCATGCTTGGTTTCATGGATTAGGTCAGGTTAGATAGTTATTCCTGCAATTGATTTGACAATCTGTCAGGGTCAGACAGAGCAGTCTTTTAATGTCCTTCAGATTTGCTGCGCAGGTCTTACTACCGCGATACCTATCGTTGGTCTGCCTGGAATATGGCACATCTGCTGCAATGGTGGGTGGCAATGGAGCGGTTTGTTGGATGCTGCTGCTTTTGGTCCTGGTTCCAGGCAGATGTTTGTTTCCGATCTGCCGTATTTATTGGCCGTGGCTGCACGTGCATAGCTGTTCGCTTATCGTTTTTGTTCCAAACTTCGAAATGCCAAACACTGAAATTCGAAGGAAGCCCATGGCCTGATCCCAAAGTTCCGACTTTTTTCACCAGATACATTGGGGTTACGCCAGTGTCCGGCTGAATGAACCTGGGCTCTAGGTATGAATTTCAGCAAACATGCACATATTATGTTTATTATTGCTGAAATTCATACCTAGAGCCTCGCTTCACAGATGCTCCAATTTTCATTGGAGCCTGCGCGCCGAGAACCCTAGCGGCCAGGTGTTGCATTGAACTTTTACCATCCAGAACTGATTACTATTACGAGTGTTTGGGAACGGTACGCGCAACCAAGATTATATAATCGATTTGTTGCTTCTTTCGATGTAGCTTGATCTACTTGTTTCACTCCCTTTTCCTGGTGTCTTTGTATGGACAGTGTTGGTTCGCACCGTATTTGACTTTTTTTGCCCTTGGTCGCACATTGCTTCAGACATTATGTTTGCACTTGTCCCAAGGCGTGCGAGGTGTGAAGCCTTTTTGTTGAACAACAAATAATTAACAGTTAGTTCTATTCTCATGTGTTGGGCATGTCCATGTCTATCGATGGCTACTGCCTGCACCGCTGTAAGGCATGGATGGAGGGCACTACTCAGAAGCGGAGCACCTGCATCTCGATTCAATGACAGATATCGGTAATTGAAATGATTCGGGCCCTTGTGGTTCATTCGACAAGGAACCAACTTGAAACAAATCAGGTGGAGTGGTCTCTAGGTTTGACATCTCCAACTGGGCAGGTTGAGGCGAAGCAAGGTATGGAGGCCAGGCTTGTAGACTGATGACAGGCAAACCTGTCCAAGAACATACGAATGCACACCCACACACTCACACTTTTGGGACGTGATGCAATTCGGAATACTATGGTCAGCATTTGTGTTGGGCAAATCTACTCAACCAGCCGCATTTCCCAGCGTTTCCTTCAGCACGTGGCCAGTACAGCTGTGCAGTGTGACACGCTGGCAGCTTTGACTAGGACATCCCCTTGGCAACCCTGGTCTTTCGTGACTGTGCGGCTCGCTCCCGAGGTTTGATGAGTTAGCGGAGTGCCATCATGAGGGGACTCGGTGAAAACTGTGACGGCCTGACCTGGTGGGCGTCCCCTGATGTTTCCTAGCCTTAGCCGGCAGGCGTCTGCTGGGCTTCGCTGGGAATAGTTTACCCCGCCGGCACGCCCTCTTTTTCCGCTTTTTGACAGTGGGTTACACTGGCACTAGATTCCGTGGGTCTGTGCGCGCAGTTCTCATGGCTTTTGGATCGGCTTGCCCGCCCCCTGGTTGCGAGAACTGTATTAGGTGCGCACATGAAAGACTTGCCCTCAACTTGCTGCTTTCAAGCATGATTCAGTTTTTGCATGCTAGATCAGAGCACAAGTCACAGGTCTTTTCGTTGAAGAAGCAAGGCTTTCCGTTCTTTTTTTCTGGGCAAAGAGGCCGAGCTTCCTTTGCCTGATGGAGCCGAGTTTTTGTCATGTGCTGCCCAGTTTCCTCTTCGTGCAGGAGTGTCGATTCAAGAATGTGATGTTCAGCTCCAGCTGCATGACTGTCACGACTCCGAAACCTCAGGGGTGGTATGCCCCATTGTGATATTGTGTAAAAGATGCGAATTAGCTGCACGCGTGCTCGTTCTACTTGCGTTTTACCCCACGCGCTTTGACCACCAGCACACTGTGCATCACTCGTGGTCCGCGCCCGTGGAGGGTTTTCGCAGGGCGCCGAGCGACATGGCGAGGCATGATGTCCGTCATCGGACTCATCGGAGTGGAACTCCTGCCCCGCCGTGAGACAGACTCGACAGCGACAAAAGGCCTTGGTGCATGGTTGATCCAAGCGCAAGTTGAAAGTGGCCTGATGTGTGTTCATCCCAACCACCTACATGTTTTTGTTAAGGCAAGATACGCCAAATGCCGGGGTGTCAGCACGATCAAGAACCCAAGGAGCAGAAGGTCAATGCTGCTGCATGTACTCATGAATAGCATGGTCCGACTTTCAACATTCCTTCAAGGTTGGGTGGTTTCAAGTTTGCGGGAAGTGTGCTCAATTTCCTGCTACTTGCTCTGATAAGCGGTTGCATGACCTGGTTCAGAAGGCATTAGATGTCGTCCCCAGATGTGAAGGGCGGAATGGCGGCCTATACAGGCAGGATTTTGGGTCGGTCATGTGCTGCTACAAGTCGAGCCCCTGATTGTTTTGGGTTTCTTCCATCCCGCTGTACGTCAAGAGAAGGATTTTTGAACACTTACACAAATCAGCAGCGCACAATGCTGCAACAGCGGGTGTAACCTTTTTTTCTATGTCTTTTGACAGGAGTTCTGCAGGAGATTCTCTGCAACTTGAGCACAAAGTCGCCCTTCCAACGGCAAAACCGGAGCTGCCGACTGTGGCCCTTCCACGTGTCCGTGATAGGCGGCGCCGGTGCTGCTGCACCTGCCAACCTGATGCCGGAGGCAGAGGGAGGGGTGGCCCTGGGTTCGATGGTTGTCCTAAAATTAGGGAACCCACCTCACAACTGATGGTTTTTCTTTTTGGTTTTTCTCTGAAAGGCAACCCAAATTAGGTTCCTTACAAATAGACAAACCCATATTTTCCGAGAAACACAAGGAACCTGGCGGTTGAGATGGGTCTAGCTTGAACGCAGAGAGGGTTATCAATCTGGCATTTTATGGTCCTTTGGCATTTCGAGCATTGTCTCAGATTCCTGTACAATGCAGAACTGGATGCATTTCCAGATTTGTGCGGCGAACTATTCTAGACTATGTATATCAAGTGCTACCATTTCTACCATGACTGAATTATTGCTACGATTACTAGGCCTTCTGCTGTCACTACCAGTACCTCCTTCATCACCACCGTCACCACCACCGCCACACCCCCCCCTCCAGCAATCACGACTACGTAGCTAGGTCAATTTAGTGAGCTCGTTACTGATCTGTGTAGCAAGCTAGTTCTTTGTTGGTTAGCTAGCCATTTAGACGCTTTTGTTTATCATGTCGAGCGAGCTTGTTGGCCAGTCTGCAGTTAGCTAGTTGGCCAGTCCGCAGTTACTTCCTTCAGGGTTTGTCTTGTTTTTTTGTGATTCCATTTAGCAGCGCGGTTCGTTCAGGAATGCCCGATCCCTTCAGAAAAGGCGGCACGGGAGGAAGCGCAGCGTAAATGCTTCCGTCGGATGCCGGAGGTGCTATCCTTTGCCCGGAAGCATGGTCTGGCCACGGGCGCGCAGGTGCACGCTCACGGCAGATTGGGGGGGGGGAGGGGTCTTGCGTAATACTGGTTTCGAACTCGTGATTGAAGCCGTGCAGGCGATTTTTTGAAGATGTTGAAGATGTTGTGCAGGTACCTCTCCCAAGCAAGCCTGAGCAAGTAATGATGCAAGCAAACCTGGAATGACAGAAGCATGGAGACTAGTGGGGCTTCATGCGGATATTATTGTGCATGTAGAACACTGTCCATCAGTGGGACCAGATGACAAGGCGGCTTCCTATGTTTGGGCCGGGGCTGAGCACAAAGCGCAAGACATGGTTTCGTACGGGTGTTGCAGGAGCAGAAACAACCGCACAACGCATCATTCTGACATGTCAGTGGTTCGCCTCCACCCACCCATCCGCCCTCAGTTCCATAGTCGACGAGTTCCTAGCTTCAAGGATGCACTGCATCAGAAGCGCCGTGTTCAGAAAAAATCAGAAACCTAGGAAAGCAGACTGTCACCAGCCCAAAACAGCATTTGCATGTGCGGTAACCGGTTCGTTCCTCCGAAAGCCACTGGCTGCGCATTTGACGAACCAATGTGGGACGCAAGCATCGCAAATGTTGGCCACTTCGGGAAGAAGTTCTCCCCATCAGCGACAATTCTGGGTCTGTTCTGCGGCAGGTTCGGCATAGTTTCGGGCAGCTTCGGGAGGTTGTGGGGAATGTCTGGGGAAGTCTTTGGGAATGATATTCGGCCGACGCTATTGGGAATTCTCGCCTTATTTTGCTCAGGATGTTATAGGTATCTTGGCAAATTCGTATTGCAGCAACCTCGGATGAGACGGTTAACACAACCTGGGCGATCAGTTGTGACAACTTCATCCAGAACCACGTTGATAGACACATGGGCTCGAACGCACAAGTTTCCTCCCAGAATGGCTGCGACAGGAAGAACTGCAGCAGCTGATGAATGCATCTGCCGCAAGCTCAGCCAGAGCTTTCAAAGGGCCTTGAAGCTCCCCAACTTGGCCTTGTAACTGGTTCCTGACGTGAAACTGTTCTGTTTGCATTGGTGGGTGCTTCCCCGGTCAAGGGGAATAAATCCCTCGTCAACCTTTGCAATTTGCAGATTGATCCTTGGTTCCAGCGAAATGAGACCGTGGAGTAAAACATAAGTTGAGTCCAGCAGGTCTCTGTTGACGAGTCGTGTGTGGCCCAGTGCACTTCACCGTCCAAGACGGTCTTGTTCATGCTTGGACTCGGACCGCATTGCATGTCTTGCCTTGGTGCTGAAAGTGAGAGGAGAAACAGTTGCGCGTCACTTGCCAATACAGTGTAGACAGAAACACCCAAGACATCTGGCACTTCTCTCTGTGATAGGCTCCATGTCAACGCGCCTTGGATAGTTCACTTGCGATTTTTTGGGGCACTATCAGCCTGAGCTGGACCACAAAACCGCCCGGAACCCGTGTGACGGGGTGTCGCGGACCTCGAGGTCAGCTTGGCGCAGCGGCGCGTCACGGTGTGCGTGCCGGCAACGGTGGCCAACCTGGGGCCGGGCGTGGAGGTGGTAGGCATGGCCCGGGCCCCAAGTTGGCCCCCCAGGCCGCCCCAAGGGGGCCCCAAGGGGGCCCCAATTTAATTTGGGGCCCAAGGGTGTTGGGGTTTTGAGCTTTGCAGAGGCTGGCTGGTTAGGTTGGGCTGGCTGTCAGGCGGTGGACATTTGGGACGAGTTCACTCTGGAATTTTCGGACCACTTCAGCGTCGAGCTGCGAGGGCCCGATTCTCCTGAGGCCTTCCGGCTAAGAGTGACAGATATAGCACAAGCAAATTGGGTTTTCAAGGCATTCAAGCAACCGGAATGCTTGAGACCCGCTGTGCATCCTGTGAGCAAAGCAGGTCCCAAAGATTCTAATGGTGGGTGTCTTTCTCTGCAGGTTTTTCTCAGCGTCTAGGTGGCAAAAACAGCCGGCCTCAGCAGCTTGCCGTCGGTCCTTGTGGCCGCGACCTGCCTATGACTTTGACAGGTGCCCGTCAATGAGGAGAATCTGGTTGTGCAGGGAGCTGCAAGTGCTTTTAAGGAGAGGAGTTCACTGGATCGGCACGCATTGCAAAGATGTAACGAGGGAAATAGGAGACCGGTGGGCGAAGCCGGCCACAAACACACACACACACAAAAACACACAAACACACAAACACACAAACACACAAACACACAAACACACAAACACACAAACACACAAACACACAAACACACAAACACACAAACACACAAACACACAAACACACAAACACACAAACACACAAACACACAAACACACACACACAAAAACACACAAACACACAAACACACAAACACACAAACACACAAACACACAAACACACAAACACACAAACACACAAACACACAAACACACAAACACACAAACACACAAACACACAAACACACAAACACACAAACTCACAAACCCACAAACACACAAACACACAAACACACAAACACACAAACACACAAACACACAAACACACAAACACACAAACACACAAACACACAAACACACAAACACACAAACACACAAACACACAAACACACAAACACACAAACACACAA